AACGTTACGCCAATTATACCTTATAGCCCCTCTTGAACTGCAGTATAACCCGGCGCCTGGAGCAGTGTTTATAATTGATTAACCATTGACAGCGAAGGCTTGCCAAAACGCCATGATCAAAGATCCCCCAACTCTACACCCTGCGAATGGAACACATCATAGCCTAAAACCAAGTTAACTGCTCTAGTCTGTTTATTCTCCTGATTTTAAGTGGTATAAGATACCTTATTTCCCAAGTTAAACTGCCCCCTAGTCTGTTTATTCTCCCGATTCTAAGTGGTATAGCCCCCGTGTAAATAGAGTTTCTCGCTCCATGTGACGTAAGTATTCTAGCCTATTCTATTCTGCGGGGCTTCTCTCCGCTCATTCAACGGCACTTCCCAATTTGGCTGTAATTCTATGTGACAAACTACAAACGCATATATAGTCGTAATAGCCTGTGGGTATCTATCTGGGCATACCCTCGTTCACCACTTCCATCCCATACCATGTCACAAGGAGCAAATGGCACTGCGTCTGCAACTCCTAACGGAGTAGTAGATCAAGTACACAGCAAGAAAAGGATCGTCGTTTGTTGTGATGGCACGTGGCAAGGCGAGCAATATTACCCCCGTCGCATCTTTATTCATGGCTGATTGTTCACTTAGACGCTTTCATTTCAAAGAATCCAGGAGAATATACGAATATCATCAAGGTCGGCTTATCTCCAAAACTTACCGTAGCGTGTACCAACCTCACTTGTGTAGCTGGCTCGCATGGTCTCCCATCTTGATCCACGATCGTAAGAGCTTGTCCTCATATCTCCTTACCGGTTTCACATTTTCAACTTACTTTGTAGTCCTAACAAAGTTTCCATCCCACAAGTTGTTTTTTACCAATCCGGAATCGGCACAGAGCAACCGTTGGTACTAGAATACCTTCAAGGTACGAGTCTTTTCATTATTTTTGATTCTTTTTATCAATCGGTCCAAATGCGTTTACTCACAGGTGCAACGGGCTCGTCGCTTCGCGAAAAAGTCCAAGAAGCATATGGGTTTATTTGCCAGTGCGTGGCATCCTAACATTTTCCGCTACTCCCCTCACGAGTTATTATTCTCAGTAATTATCACCCAGGCGACGAAGTATGTCATGCTCCATCTGCCAGTTTCTCTCCCTGTACAACCTGAACACCATAATTCACTTCTTACAACAGATATTCCTATTCGGTTTCTCTCGAGGCGCTTATACCGCACGAATGCTCGCTTTTTTTATCGTACGTGCCTACGTTTTCTATGCATTGTGATACGAAGCCCCCCATTCCCAGGGAAAATTGGGTGTCCTTGATAAGAAAGACCTCATCCATTTTGCGGATATATTCGACTGGATGCAAGATTTGGAGCACCCAGACAAACAGGGCAAGGATGGTGGGTATTGTGTTTATAATTACCTCTGTTTTCTCACTTCTCATATCAACCAACCATCCCCACTCCCCTCTGCATGTTCAATGCGAACTTCGAAACCCGCCACAACGTAGAGAGAGAACGGTTGGAGGCCGCTAACAAGAAATTCGAGCCTGTAGTTGAAGCAGGGAGGAAGCGGGCTGATCCGGACGGGAACGATTTCACCATTACGTATGTCCCGTCTCTTCGTATCTTGAATTTTGTCACTTGCATATTAACCACATTCTACAGAGTGCTAGGGGTGTTCGACACTGTCGGCTCCCTCGGTCTTCCGCAAGAGCTCCATCTCTTCCCTAAAATGAAACACTTTGGCCTATCAGACCAATTACTCGGAAAACATGTTGAGCATGCGTATCATGCTATAGCTATTAACGAGACTAGGCTGGACTTCGTGAGTATTTAAATCTCCGTGGTTCAACGTCTCAATTTTTTTTTTGGCTTTGGGAATGACAGGATGTCGTCAGATTTGAACAAAGCGAAGAAGGTCTGCAGAAGAATCAGACTTTGAAGCAGGTTTGGTTCTCAGGTTAGTTCGGTTGTCGGAGACGGTGGCAAAGAAATTGACGTTTTTTACGTTGGAATAGGTGCTCATTCTGATGTAAGTAAATACAGTGAAACCTGTTCCATTGTTAGTTATCTAAGGGTTTGCTGCCCGACTAGATCGGCGGTGGATATAGTGGACACGATTTATCCGATATCACACTTACATGGATGACGGCAAGCCTCCCCGCTTCCACTCCAATATATCTCCTAATCTTAATTGCCCGCCAAATAGGCCAACGTCATGGACAAGCTTGCCCTCGACATACAATACATGGAAAGCATGTTCGAACCCACCGGTCCTTGGGGTACACAACAGCCCCACGAGTAAGCCCACCTTCCATCTTCCCACACTCACACTCACGTTCCTTCCCAAAGCCCAGCAACAGGCGTATTCCAGCTCTCTCTCCAGACCAAACGCACCCTCCCCAAACTCTCGCCTCCCTCCCCCTCCTTCCCCTACTTTGAATCCATCCACCCAAGCGTCCAATCCCAGCCCGAAGACCAAATCGTCCCCGCTCTCAAAGAGCTCATATCCGCAAACCCTCAAATCGTCTGCGACCTCACGCCTTTTGAAGAAGAGATAAAATCTAAATGGGCTGAAAAAGTCGCGGCCCAAGGCAAGGAAGGGTGTGAGGAAAATAGGCGGAAGGCCGAGGAGGCTGATAGCAAGGCGAGAAAGGAGGGGGTCAAGGGGACGTTGGTGGGGATTAAGAATGTGTTCGTGGGTGTGGTGACGGGGCTTGTCAGAAAAGTGACATCGACAGGGAAACAGCAAGAAAAGAAATAGGGTTTCGTGGCTTGGGCCTGAAACGACGGCGCAGCCGGAGAAGCGTACAAGTCATGGATGTTTGAGAATAACAGGGACTATATCGGTTTATATAATATGCAACATATGCGAATATACTTAGTTTACATTGGATGTATAGCTCAACAAGTGTTTCTCTCGCTCCGCTCGGGGACCACTTTGAATGAAATGAGATGATAAATTTACATTAGTTATTATTTGTAGATTGTAATGGCTGTGTAATTTACGACGGTAGCATGTTTTTGAATGTACAATGTAAGTTTATTATTAGGCAAGTAGTTCGTTTTAAGTGATGTTGTCAGTGTGTAATTCGTCGCATAGGAGAAGAATTCTCGCGTGAACACGGTGTTGTACATGAGAAATGCAGTGTATAGTTAGCCCGTGGGTGAAAAAAAATTATGATAATGTCAATTCCAGTACGTTGTACCGTAAGACCTTGACAACTGAACCACTCAACTTGGCCGCAATCACGTAATAACAGTAAACAACCTGTTAGCTTCTAGCAATTGTAACCGCATTCACCCTGTAAACATCCCCATTCAACACATTCTTTTTATCTATCATCTTCCTCAAAATGGCTACACTGTTAGTGTTGACAATCCCCTCTAGCCCTGTTTATGCTACCACTTATTAACTACCTGTGAGCTTTTGACCAGCCTGTGTGAGATTGAAAGATTGTGTAGTAAATGGAAAATGTGCCATTTGACTAGAAGATCATGGTCCAGCAATCCAGAATATGTATGAAATAATATTCTAAGGCGGGTTGGGGAGGAATGAAGTTTAATGAGTTTGAGAAGGAGAAGGTACTCACTCTCTTTAGGATGCATGTGTTACAAAGTTCCACTTGTTTATCTATTAGGTCTAGAATAATACAACTGAGGCAACAGTCGGGATTATTAAGGTGTCAGGGACAAGGGGAAACTAGGCAGAAGACCGGGAGGTCTGTACATACTTATGTAGCTGGGCCCTGCTTTTCTCATTACCAAAGAAGGGTATGCAATGGTCTTGGGAAGCAGACTAGGAAAGGGTCCAGTTCTAAAGACAAGTGGAGTTTGGCTTCAACATATGTATGTGTTATGCCTCACATGAACTGTCTATGTGCTCCAGTATTTTGAAAACAAGCAAGAAGTACAATTCAAACAAAGTAATCAACACTTTGCTGATAACCGGAGGACCAGAGTCTAAGGTTGATGATGATTAGAGTCTCAGACTTGCCAATGACTGGAGTACAAGACACTAGTAACAGAATAGGGTAATATATTAGTCAATATTTGAACTGAGGAGTAGTAGAGCACAGTTAGAGACTTATATACTGAACTAGAATGGAAGAATGGAGTGATACAGAACATGGTGGATTCCAAAAATGGGATTACAAAGAGTGATGGAAGAGTGGGACAGATCAAACAAGGGGTGGATCAAAAGTATGAGTGGACAAAAACAATAATAGTGTATAAAGTGAGTAACATAAAAGGAATGACACAAATAATAGTGGAGAGCCATCAGAATGGAAATGGGGGAGCATGACCCAAAAAAGGAAATCACTTGAGTATGATCTGTTAGAGCTGAATGGCAGGTTGCTGGAAAGGTGAATACTACAAGTGTGATCCTGAAATGATGGTCCTTAACAAGGATCTTGCAAATTTCATTGGAAAATAAAAGATGATAGAAAAGATTCATCATATTCTCTTTGAAATATGTTAAGGTGGACTTCAGTGGTGGTACTACAGTATTTCTGCTTACATATACAGTATCAACAAATTCAGCTAGCTCTGGATTGTCTGGATTGTAAATATGTAGGATGAAGTGAAATTGTCTTAAAAAGTGGGCATACATGTGAAACATGTGAAGATTTAACAGATGTATCAATATATTATATTTTGCTTCATCTGTGGTGATAGGACATGTGTAAGGGCTACCACAACAGGGCCTTTGGTACTTGCAGAAGGATATCCAAAGAGAAAAGGATAAGGGGGGGGCTCTGCTAGGTGCTTCAAAATATGGGGTGTCTAAAAATAGAATGACAATTCACACTAACTATGTACTCTACCTTAGAATATTCCTGGAAGGTGGAATTGTTAGAATTGGAATTCAATATCTATAAGTGTCAGGCTGTTGTAAGTGCACAGGTTGGCCCTCAGTAAATAAACTGTTGTGAGAGCCTAGGTTGGTCATCAGAAAACCAATATAACCTATAATATAACACTAGACCATAAGGTCCAGTAACTCAGTGGTTAAGAGCACCAGCATATATTAGCTAGGTCCTTGGTTCAATCCCAGGCTGGGTCAATTCTTTTCTATTGTAAGCCTGGTGGCTTATGATATACTGATTGCATTATCACAGATGTGCATAATACCATTTTAGATACATCATTTTACTTACTGTCATCATTGTACAATGACCCCAAAAAGCATCTGGATGTTTGGTGAAATTGGAAAGAGGGGTTCACAGCTCCAGAAATAAAATAGATAAAAATCAGAAGCAAAAGGTATACATCTGACCTATATGATGACATAATCATGAACATCATAGCCTTCCTTATCTGGAGAGTAAGAAATGAACAATGGACATAGTGCATCCAGACACTTTTCCTGCTCTTGTAATTAACTACCAGTTTTTACTAGTTTCAGTATTTAGTGTGTCCCCCCTTGGCATTTAGCACTGCAGCAACCCTTCCTGTCTTGATGTAGTATAAAGCTCTTTTCATGTACACTACAGTTCTTCAGTTCAAATATCAACTTAGATTAGCCCCTCTTAGTTTCTCACCTTCCCCCCCCATCACCATATTCTTAAAGAGTGGTCTTCAGCAAGCTGCAACCTTAGTGGTTCAACCCTCTGGTTGATTAAGCTAAGTGTTGACTCTTAATCATATTGTACTACCTGCTCTGTTTGAATCCCAGAGCACCCTGACAGTTTGTGTGAGGTTACAACACATACTGTAAGTTGAAGCCAAGCTCCACTCCACTACAGTTACAGAGTTGGACCTCCCAACTAGTATGATCTCTATCTCCAACTTAAAGCATTCCCCCTCTTCCCAGTGTAGATCTTAATATCTGGAGACTGTGCAGGCCAGTCTAAAACCTCCACCTGATGGTCCTTGAACCAATCCTTGGCCAACTTTCAAGTATGTTTAGGGTCATTGTCCTGCCAGAAGACAAACATTTCCCTGTCCATCCCATAATACTCCACTGTTTTGAAGATATAGCCCTCCAATATGTCCCTGTACATCTCCCCTCCTCCCATCTACCTTGCACATGGACCCCACACCATGTGCTGGTTTGCATCCCCAAATCATCAGATTCCCCCCTCCAAATTTGATAGTTCCATTGATATGCTGGTAAGTGACTGCAGAACCTGGTGTTTTCCACACCCACAACCTCCCATCAGAGCCCAAACAATTGATTTTGGTCTCATCTGAGAAGATAGCCCTAAACCAGTCCTCCTCAGTCTAATGCTGGTACTTGACAGCAAACTCATATCAAGCCTTGATGTGTCAAGAGGCAAGATGGGGTCTTTTGGCCTTCACCACAGCCTTCAAATTCTCTTTCTTCAATGCATTGAAAATTGTCTGTGTGCAGACATTGAGGGAGAGGTGGGACTTGGCCTGGGAGGCATTATCAACCTGTCCAGAGGTGATAGAACAAGCCAGGTGGTAATGATCCCTGGGGGAGAGCTTGGGAGGACAACCTCTGGAAGGTGTTGGAAGTGGACCAGGGAGTTGGGAGCAAATTTCTGATACAGTAGAGTGCCCAATATGGAGTTTAGAAGCAATTGTTCTGCAGGAGTGACCCTCCTGGAGAAGGGAAATGACAGAGAGTCTTGTTTCAGCAGAGTGCTTCTTCATAATGTAGTGGGAGGGTGAAATGAGACAAAGGTTCATATAAATGACCTTAGTTGAGTTTCATGTATCAGTTGACAGAAGAAAAAAAGTGTCTGGATGCACCATGTCCATGGTTCATTTTTTATAAGGAAAGCTGTGATGTCATGATTATGTCATCATATAGGTCAGATATATACCTTTTACTTCTGATTTCTTCTGATCTTTATCTATTTTATTTCTGGAGCTGTAAACCCCTCTTTCCAATTTCACCAAACATCCAGATGCTTTTTGGGTCACTGTATATCATACTTGCTATTATTGAGGAATACAGTTTGGTCCTATCAATGTTTGGACTGATGCCAATGCAAGGTTGTATTAGACAGCAGCCTTCCATCTATACCTTTAATAGGAATAGCTATCTGAAAAAATATGAGAAAATTACAGGGAGCAATTTAAAAGAATCTCTAAGGGTTAGACTAGTCAGGGGATTTGAGACTGTAAATAATTGGGAAGTGGGTTAACAAAATATAGACCTGATAGAAAATTAAAAGACAATAAGTAGAAAATCCCCTTACAACATGTTTTGTTTTAAATCCCTTAGTAGTAAAATAAATCCCTTTCTTGTGATATCATTTGTAGAAGCTAAGATTGTTATACATATACTGTATCTCATGAAATAGTGAGACAAGTGTCTCATTCTGATATTCCATACAATATCTTCAGTATTTAAATTATGGTAGTATGCAATCTCATCTATCATCCATCAAAATAAACCAAGATACTAGCAATTGCAGACTGTGAATTATTAGACTTTTCTATCTCTTAGGACCTGATCTCAACCATGGTTTTGGCCCAAACTTAGGATCTGATTCTGAGCTTTCACATATTCCTACCAACTGTTATCTTTTAAGTGACAGTTAGCACCCAAGTATTCCCAATTTCCAACTACAACCCCAAATTTATTAATTACACCAGCGCTATGTATGTAGCTCCATGGTGAAGTTGACTGTGCCATAAATTGTTAAGGTGTGAAGAACAAAAGGAAACTAGGCAGAAGACTGAGTGGTCTATACATACTTTACCAGGGGTTGAGTTTGTTAAGAGTTGTACATGGAGCTTATTAAAGGGTTTCTGGAGAAACCTGCAGGAAAGCTGATAGGACTTGGTTTCAGCTTATAGGCTGTGCCCTTGTGAGATCATCTTGTTCAATTTCAAATGGGCAGACAGGAATCCCAGGAAGTCCAGGAGAAGTCTGTGGGTTGAGAGGTCGGGGAGTTGAGATAAATTGGTCAGAGGTCAAGTGATAGATGGGTCGGAGCCCACAGACTCAAGTGGTGTGTTTCAAAGAGGAGATTAGAGCAGAAAATGTACTTGAGATTACTGGGGGGAATCTAAGCTGATTTTCTGACTGGATTGTATGTACAACATCTGCCAGACTATATAGACTGTGGAATGAATAACATACCAAATCCAGTAATAATGAAAACTAAACTAGCAAACATGAAATGAGATAAATAAACACCAAACTTGGTGTTAGGAATGGAATGGAATGGAGTGGAGTCCAAATTGTGACAGGTCATTTGACCATAATGGAAACAGGGCTTAGTTAGAGAGCTATTGGGTTTTCTGAGTGGGGTCTGGTGACTGGTGTGTGGGACAGGGTTGGAGATAGACAGGAGCAGAGTCCGGTGGGTATTCTGGTGACTGATACATGAAGTAATGAAGGTCAAGTGTGCACAGGTCTGATGTATGGAGTCTGGTGGGTTTTCTGGTAAACTGATAATTGGTGTGTGTAGGGTGCAGGTGCATATAAGTTAGTGCCTGGAGTCTGGCAGGATTTCCAGCCATAACAGAGTTCTACAAAGCAAGTGGAGCTTGGCTTCAATATATGTGTTGTGCCCTTGCATAAACTGTCAGGGTGCTTTGGAAACAAATGAGAAGTGTGATCAAAGAAAGTAATAAATGCTGATACCAGAGGGCCAGAGTCTAAGGTTGATGATGATTAGAGCCTCAGACTTGCTGAAGACTAAAATATGAGACACTAAGAGAGAGAGACAATAGGAGTGTAGGAAGGCAAGTAACACAAAGAAATGATACAAGGAATAGCAGAGAGCTGTTGGAATGGAAATGGAAGAGTGTGACCCAAAAGGAAATAGCTTGAGTATGAGTTGTTGAGATGAATCAAAATTTCTTGACTAAGTCAAAGTACTGAATACCTCTTTGACAAAGTATCAATTTGCCCTGGTGATAAAGTGTGAGGCTATACTAGGACATAATGGCTCATGAATGACCATGTCAGAAAGGTCTTGGTAAAGTTCAATGATTAGATAATACAGAGATGGAACAACTAAAGTACAGATTTTCTGATTGCCTTTCCTTACTCCTTTTGTTGCCCTTTTATGCCTTTCAATGTTAAACAATGACCATAATATGATATAAGAATGAAATTATATATGAAATACTAAATAATGTCAATCTAAGACAAGTTGAAGTTTAAGTCAAATAATATCATGAATGTTGAAAGGTAATTGAGTTGAAGAGTCAAAGACTTGTCAGAAGTTTTGTCAGAAATGGTCTTGTAATGGTTGTGACAGTTGTCAAGATACTGTCATCAGGGATGCTAGTGTCAGAGGCATCAGATAGTGGGTAGCTGGAGAGGTGAATACGGATCCCAAGATGATGGTTCCAACAGATATATTGAATTGCTTGTTCAATAATGGGTGTTAAGATCTAAGCTAAATGGGGAGAGGAGGTTCTAAGTTGGGAAGGGCTGATGATGATAACATAGTCAATCAGGGGGCCAATGATAGAGATCATACTAGTCAGGAGGTCCAACTCTATAAATGTAGTGGAGCTTGGCTTCAACTTATGTGTTTCACCCTTGCACAAACTGTTAGGGTGCTCTGGTATGTCAAACAGAGCAGATAGTATGATAGGAACAAAGATCAACACTTAGCTCAGTCAACTGGGGGGCCAAATTACTAAGAGTCATAAGGTGAGAGGTCATGGCTTGCCAAAGATACCCTTGAGGGTATTAGAATAGGAGTAATAGGACTGAGAACTAGAAGGGAGTAATCTAAGTTGATATTTGAACTGAAAAAACTGTAGCATACATGAAGGAGCTTTATACTACAATAGGACAGATGATCAGAGGGCTGATGTTAAGTGTCATACAGGCTCATGGAGGGTTTCTGGAGAAACCTGCAGATAATCCAGTAGGACTTGGCTTCAGCTTATAGGCTGCACCCTCATGAGATCATGATGTTCAATTTCAAATAGACAGATGGAAAACCTGGGGAGTCTGGGTGTAGTCGATAGGTTGATATGTAGGTTTGAACAGTCAATAGGTTGGGGTCAAACAGTCAATAGGTTGGGAGACCAGTTGGAAAACCCACAGGCTCTGACAAGGTCAATAGTGTTGTGTTTCAAAGATGTGAGATGGGGGTGGAGTGGGATATATGCTAAGTA